TGGAAGGTTTGGCTAGCATCGCCATCCATATCGTAATGGTAATCATCATCGTCGTCGTCGTCATCATTTCGGTGATAATCATCGAAGTGATTATTTTGATGATGATAATTGTCACCATAAACATCATCATCTTCGTCGTCGTCATCATCGTCTTCATCATCACATCCAGTATCATTCTTCCAGCCAACCCAGTCAAAACCCTTCTTGGCCGATTGGTCCAGGGCTTGGGAAAAACTATGGAGACCTTCAGCCCCGTCCGTCAGCTGCCCTAAGCCCCCGGTAAGAAAGTAAAAGTACTTTTTGTTGTCGTTGTTTATGTTGATGTGATTGTTGTGGTTGTTGTCGGTGTGTTTGTTGTTGTGGCTAAGGAGACGATTGTGATGATGGTAGACGTGATCAACACTATTCCAGTGTTTAGAAACTGATGGTGACGACGATGACGTCATGTTGTTGTTGTTATTGTTGTTTTTGTTAATGTATTTGTTGTTATAGATGTTTTTGATAAGAAGTTTGTTGTTTTTTCTATTATTAACGCTGTTATATTTGTTATTGTTGTTGTTTTTGTTGTTGTTGTAAGAGACAACAACAATCTCTCCATCGTACGTATAATCGTAGAATAAAAGTTCTTTAGAGAACGATTCGCCCAAAGATACTGTATATGAGACTAAGCCATCAGCTGGAGATGATGATGAATGAATGAATGAATGAATGACTGAATGAGTGAATGAATGAATAAATGGATGACTGAATGAATAAATGAACGAATGAATGAACAAAAAGATGAGTAAGAAAGAAATAATTTAATGAATTTAGGCATCTTTGAAAGATGAAATGAATTAAGGCGAAAAGGAATGAATGAAAATAAAATGAATAAATGAATGAATGAATAAAAAAAAACAAACAAATGAATGAATGAATGAATGAATGAATGATTGAATGAAAAAATAAATGAGAATAAAATGAATGTATCTATAAATGGCAATAGAATGGTCCATCGTCTATTGTTGTTCTCAGCAGAACATTCATTCATCCAATCGATCAATCACTCAATCAATCAATCATTAAAACCATTCATCCGTTCATTCAATCCGTCAATCCATCTATCAATCCGTTTATTTCTTTATCTCCTCTATCTTTCTTTCTTCTTTATGCTTTATTTCTTGCAAAATTTTTCTTCGAATTCAGCCAACCTGCAAGTCGGTCCAACCAAACAACCAAGCGATCAATCAATCACTCGATCAACCAATCAACTACTCAGCCAACTAATCTATTAAACAATTAATTAATCAATTAATTAATCAATTAATCAGTTGAATGAATGAATGAATAAACTTTGAAAGTATTTAATCAAAAACAAAACAAACAATCTAACACTTCAGAAAGCCAGTCAACTGAATATTTCATTGAATTATCAATCAGTCGATCAATCACTCAATCAACCAATCAATCAATTAGTCAGTTAATTAATTAATCAATTTTTAAATCTAGTTCAATCAATCAGTCAATCAGTTAAGCAGTCAATCAACTAATCAATTAATTCATCTATTTATCTCGGTCACGTCAAAATGTCTATATGTCTTCCTTCCTATCACAGTTTATTTTGTTTGTTTGTTTGTTTGTATGTAAGCATGCCTGTTTTTGTATAGTTTTTTGCATATTTTTTGTTAGAATTTGTATAATTTTGTATGTTTTTCAACAAGATTTTGTCACTTCATAGTATGTTTTGCTTAAACTTTTGGATTTCTGTGTATATGATTGTACGTGGTTTGTATGCCATTGCATGTTCTGCATATTTTTTTAGCATACTTGTATATATTCTTTTATTTTCTTGAGTTAGGTTTTCTCTTGTATAGCAAACATTTTTGTATGTTTTGGTGTCTCTTTGAATTTGATCTTATCTGTTGTTTAAGGTTTGGTATGTCCTTGTATGTTAGCTTGCACGTGTGTTTGTTTATAGGAGTGTGTATGCGTGCATTTGCATAAATTTGTTTCAAAGTGTATGTACGTGGTTGTATGTAGTGAGAAAACATCTGTGTGTTTTATGGAAATTTATGCTGTTGTTTGTGTGTATTATGTTTGTGTGTGTTGTTTGTGTGTGCGTGCGTGTTTGTGTGCGTGTGTATGTGTGCGTGTGTATGTGTGTGTGTGTGTGTTTGTGTGCGTGTGTTAGGTGCAAGCTTTTCATCCCCTCATTAATAATTCCATTACGAGAGTCAGTACAACATAGCCATGCTAGGTAGAGGAAAAGATGAAGAATGATAATAATAATAATTATAATCATAATTTTTTTTATCTTTACTGACAAATAATTATTAATAACAATAATGATAAAATATAACTAGTAATAATAATAATAATAATAGAAATAATATTTGTTAATGACTTTATTAATACAGAGAACAGAAATTTAACTAATCATGATGATGATAAAAGTTGCTTGCATTATTATTATTGTTGTTGTTGTTGCTTTGTTGTTGCTGTTGTTAAAAATATTTTTTCATTCCCCCAGGAGATTTGAACATTTTGTTATTTTTCATTATTGATGACCTTTTGCTTCTTGTCTATGTGTAGTGTTTGTTTTGTATGTACGTTTGTTTGTATGTGCGTGTGTGAATGTGTGTGTGCGTGTGTGTGTGGGGTGTGTGTGTGTTTACGTATTATTTTCCACAAAACTTTTAAAACCAATTTTTGAAGTTTCTGGAAATTATTTGAAAATATTTTTGCCTGAAAAAATTTGTACGTAGAATGATAAAAAAAAAATGATGAAGATGATGATGAAGATGACGATGATGAAGATGATAAAGATGACGATGATGAAGATGATTTTGAGGATGAGGATGATAAAAGATGGTGAGACCAGGAAGAAGAAGATGAAGACGACGACGATGATGATTTTGATAAAATTTTAATACGACCAATATGAAGCTATAATCGTAACCTCTCCAAGGACAGCCGTACACGTCGATTCTATAACACGTCGTTGTTGCTGTTGTTGCTGCTGTATGGTGTTGTTGATGTTGCTGTCGATGTTGTTGTTGTCGCTGCTGTTGTTGTTCATGATGTTGTTGGCGATGTTTTTTCCGAAAAAGTTTCTGACTTTGTTTATATTGATTTTGCTGAAGCCTTAGAAGCTGTTGAAGTAGAGGTAATATTTGTTGATGTTGTTGTTGTTGCTGTTTATGTTGTTGTTGTTTTTGTTTACGATGGTGCTGCTTAGTTTTTTCGCGTAGTTTTTTCTTATTTATAGAAAGTCTTAAACGCCTGGCTACTAAGGGCGGATTAAAAACAAATGAAGACGATGATGATGATGATAATGGAGTTGAGGATGGCGATGTGGCTGTTGTTGAATTTAGTCTGTTCTTCTTCTGCTGTTGCAAATACTTATCTAATACGTTGTTGTTGTTGTTGTTGTTGTTGTTGTTATTGTTATTGTTGTAGTAAAATTTATAGCCATAGTGTATGTTGTTGTTATTGTTGTCGCTGCTGCTGCTGCTGCTTTTGTTGTTGCTGTTTATTCTAGAATTTTCCAATGTGGAAATTATCTGCACGAAACATGATTAATGTTTCTTTAAATCTATACTTACACTGTCGCTGCAACGACGATGACCACAACAACTACTACTACTGTCATTACTTTTACTTCTACCACCACTACTCTTACTACTACTACTACTACTACTATTACTACTACTACTACTACTACTACTACTACTACTACTTCTACTACTACTACTACTATTATTTACTATAGACATTTACTTTAGATTTTTTTCCCTGATATAACAACAACACAACAAAAACTTCAACGACGACACCAAAAAAGCATCAACAACATCAACATCAACAACAACAACAGCATCAACAAAACATTAATAACAACAACAACATCAACAGCAACAAAAAGCCTGCACTATTAAATAAATTAAATCACCTGACAAAATGATTGTCAAAACAGACCAATCAAATATGACACGCGAATCAAAACAATAAAGCTTATTTTTATCAGTTCACACACACACACGCACACACACACACTCGCACACACACACGCACGCACGCACACGCACGCACACAAAGGTACGTGACTTAATTCTCCCAGCCTAACACCTTCAAAAATGTTCCTTCATTTTTAATAGCATCCATCCCGATAAAATAACCGACAATAATGGCGACGAGGTCGATAATGATGACGTCATTATCAAGTAACACTGGCAATGATAATGATGATAACAAAAATTGTTTATCACCATCGTCTTCGTCGTCATCATCATCATCATAGTCATCTTTTCTCCAGTACATCTCAGATGCATCAACAACAAACAGGGCACATGCGACTAGGACAAGTGAATCCATACACACATACACACAAACACACACATTGCATACGATAGAGGGAGATCTCTCTTGCAGTCGAACCCGAGCCCTGCAACAGCAATGTCAGGCATCTTAACCGTAACACTTCTGCTATTTACTATTAACATAACGACAAGAAAAGAAATTTTAAACACATCTGTTTGAAGAAACAAAATGCGGCGTCAAACAATCGTTTGGAGGGAATTTTTTAACGAATTAAAATTTTTTCGTTTAGATAAAAACTACTATTTCTACTACTACTACTACTACTACTACTACTACTACTACTGCTGCTGCTGCTGCTGCTACAACTACCATAACTACTACTAATACTGCAGTAGCTACTACCACTACTATTACTATTAACAACTATTAAAGTTTTTTAACGCCACAACATCTGGTCCTTATAAAATGTACGTATACAATTTCTAAAGGATGGAACTTTAGACACCGAACAATTACTTCGATCACCCCTTAAGTTTGAAATGGAACACTCAGCATTTGCAACAAGAAACAATCAACATGGACACCCTTTTTTAAACAAAATTGAATGATCCAATTTTGAAAAAATACAAACAACAAAAACGAGATACATTCTTCAAATGCATTACTCGCCGCATTAACAAAATTAATTTGGACGCCCCTTGCTACTTAAAATAGAATGTTCCAATACTGAAATTATTACTCCTTTTAACCAAAAAAATAGAATGTTCCATTGCAATATTGGCGTAGAAACAAAATTTGCTCACCGTTTGGCCGTTCATATCTCTGTAGAACATCCAAGGAGCGTCCAACTTTCTTTTAAAGTGGACCGTTATTTCCGTTGCGTCATCCTGATAATGATCGCGATCAGGATGAAAATGATGATGACAATGATGATACGATGATGACAATGATGATACGATGATGATGATGATGTTTACGATGCTGATGATGATGTTCTTATTGCGATAATGACAACGATGTTCGTTTAAATTTGTGACAAATTATGATGATGATAATGAATAGATGGTATTGGCCTGGCCGGTGAAACAATAGATACACACTAGGAACCGGCATCACATTTTCATCATCATCATCATTGACCTCATACTCATCATCATCATCATCATCATTGTCATCATCGCCATAGTCGTCGTGATAGTGATGATAGTAGTGATGGCGGTCATGATAATAATATCCAACCCACCGGTGATGATCTGACGAAGGTAAGGCTGAGAAGCATGATTGTCTTCAAGCACTCGAGATCAAGAGTTACTTCATCATAATCATAACCAGCCGCACCATAATCATCATCATAATCTTTATCATCATCATCATCGTCTTCGTCGTCATCATTATCGTTATCATCATCGTTTGCATCTTCATATTGGTCATGTGCGTCCGGACACCAGATTGGGTCTTTGCTGGCTGTCAATCTGAAGTATGTTGGTGAAGATGACGACGACGACGATGATGAAAGACTGATGATAATGATGAACACAGTGGCGATTTAGGAGGTTTTAATGGTGGAAAAATGGTGATGATTTTTATAACAAATGATGTAATGATAATGATGAAAAAATTATGATAATGATAATAAGGGCGGCGATGATAATGAATGATGATGACGATGATGATGTTGATGATGATGATGATGATGAAGAAACTCACCTATCCCCATCCTGTAACGTTATACTGAGTGATTTTAGGCAGTTTGCTGGAATTGGTTAGTGATAATAGTATTAGTAATTTATTTTTATAACTAAGCAATAATGGTTTATTATTATTATTAATATATTATTATTATCATCAATGATGATGGGAGGATAACGATGATGATGACGACGAGGATGATGATGATAATGATTATGATGACGATGATGATGATGATGATGATGATGCAATGACGATAATGATTCGCCCATAAAATTTATGTCGGCAGTTAAATGTATAATGATGATGAGGCTGTGGAAAAAAAAATTGAAAAATAAAGAAAACATCACGACGATGAAGATGATAGCTAGTAGAATAATAAAAATATTACTACCCACAATTATAATAATTATAATAATGATAATATAAATTACAATTATACTAACAATAATAATATAAATTAAAATTATAAAAACAACAATAATATAAATTATTGCTATCATTATCATTTGTATGATTTTAACAGATGATAACATGAGTGAGGATGAGGAGAATGGGTCGTGGTTGAAACGACAAATTTTACGCAAGCACTTTATAATGATGATGATGACGACGACGAAGAGAGTGATGATGATGATGATGACGACGATGATGATGATGATGACGATGACGATAATAAAAATGATGGTAACGGTGATGATGATGATGACGACGACGATGATGATGACGATAATAAAGATGATGGTAACGGTGGTGATGATGATGATGATGATGGTGAGAACGACGATGACGACAAAAAAAAGAGTCCAAATTAGCAGGATGATGCTCTGGCAGTTTTCCAACATTTATTTATTCAACAAAAGTAGAGAAGAAAGAAGAAAGGAACCACTTTTTAGTCTTTGCTAAAAATACTCCAATTAGTACCTTCGTACCGCCTCGTTTAAATGATTACACAACAACAGTTACTACTACTCTTATAAAGATTATCTTACCACTCCTAATGCTATTTTTGCAGTTTAAAAGAATATATCTACAGATATTATTAGCTTGTAGGTGTTAATTAATACATAAAACCACTGCTGGGCGAGAGCTTCCACTACTATTTCTATCACTACGATGTTAGTATTGTTAATACTAGCGCTGCTGCTGCTACTGCTACTACTACTGCTGCTGCTACTTCTGCTACTACTACCACTAATATTACTACAATCGCTGCTACTTTTACTTCTTTGCTAGAAATCCAATCCTAGTGCTCAAATATAACATGAGCATGGCTGTAATCCTTTAATTGCAAACAGATGGTCGGCCGTAGACTGTAATTTCTCGGAACGATTTTAACCTCCATATGGTAGCACAGTTTTGTAGTAGTAGCAGCAGCAGCAATAGCGCTAGAAGTAGCAGTAGTAGTAGTAGTAGAAGTTGTAGTAGTAGTGGAGGTAGCAGCCGTAGTAGTAGAGGTAGCATGTGATATATTGTTTTGACAATAGATTTTTTTTCAAAAATTTTTTTCTTTGGTCACACAAAAAAAAATAATGGATTAAAATGAATTATGTCAGAATTGTTGATCGTCCGAAGAATAATAATAATAATAAAATTATAATAATAATAACAAAGAAATAATAATAAATGATAATAAGTTAATCCTTAAATATTTAAAAGCCCTTAATGGCTACAAAATTATCCTCATTAGTTTCATTATTATCGTAAAATTTTGTCATCACCATCGTCGTCGTTATTGTCATCATTTTCATCGTCATCATCATCATACTCATCATCATCTTCATCATCATTATCATCTTCATCATCATCATCATCATCTTCGTCATCATCATCATCTTCGTCATCATCATCATCATCTTCGTCATCATCATCATCTTCGTCATCATCATCATCATCTTCGTCATCATCATCATCATCTTCGTCATCATCATCATCTTCGTCATCATCATCATCATCTTCGTCATCATCATCATCATCTTCGTCATCATCATCATCATCTTCGTCATCATCATCATCATCTTCGTCATCATCATCATCATCTTCGTCATCATCATCATCATCTTCGTCATCATCATCATCATCTTCGTCATCATCATCATCATCTTCGTCATCATCATCATCATCTTCGTCATCATCATCATCTTCGTCATCATCATCATCATCTTCGTCATCATCATCATCTTCGTCATCATCATCATCTTCGTCATCATCATCATCATCTTCGTCATCTTCATCGTTATTACTATTTTCATATTAAATTTATCATTCTTTTGAGCGTTCATTGAAGATGGTGTCATCAACACCAACAACAACATCATCATCATCATCATTATCATTATCAACAACAACAGCAACAACATCATCATCAACAACAACAACAACGACGACATCATCATCATCATCAACAACATTTTCAGTTATTCTGGACACGCAGATTGTAATAACAGTCATTGAAAGACAGGACTAGTGCTTCAAAAAAGATGGAGATGATGATGATGATGTTGTTGTGGTTGTGATGATGATGATGATAAAGCGGTTATGATGATGATGTTGTTGTAGTTATGATGATGATGTTGATTATAATGTGATGATGTTGTAGTTATGATGATGATGTTGATTATAATGTGACAGCGACTATGTTTAAAGAGTGAAGATGTTAATAATAATTATAATGATGATGATAATGATGATTAAGATGACGGTGATGATGATGATACCTCATTCTCTTGTGTCGTTTTTGACGAAATGAGAAAAAATTTTTGAACAATGCAACTACTACTACTACTGCTGCTACTACTAATACTACTACTACTGCTGCTGCTACTACTACTACTGCTGCTACTTCTACTACTGCTGCAGCTACTACTACTACTGCTACTAATACAACTAAATTGTGTAGGAGCGATCTTAGTGATAGTAACGTTCGTTGATAATTTTTTTGCATTCAAAAAAATAAAAGACTCTAAATAAATGACATCCCTCCATTCAAAGCAGATAACTTCCGGTGGGCGATAATAAATTAAGCAACAGCGTCGACAGTAAAATGGGGGAAAACAGAGTGAGAGAAGGAGAGAGAGATAGAGAAAAAGAGAAAGAAGAGATTGAATAGAGGAAAAGAGAAAAAAAGAAAAAAAAAGAAAGAATGGAAGTAAGTATTAACCGAGGAGGTAAGTAGAGAAAAATAGAGAGATAGAAAAAAAGAGAGAAAAAGAAATAGAGAGAGAAGAGAAAGAACTAGAGAGAGAAAGAGAATGAGAGAGAAAAAGAGAGAAAGGAGCTGTGAATGGGAGAAACATTTAGCGTTAACATTATTGACTAATCACCGATACCATGCCTCATATTTGTCATCTAGAGAAAGACAGAAGGGAGAGAGAGAAAGGGAAAGAGAGAGAGAGAGAGAAGCAGTAAAAAGTAAGAGTAAAAAATGATTTTTTATAAAACAAAATCGCATAAAAATAAAATTGGAAAAGAAATAAATATCTTAGATGGCGTATGCGTTGAATGCAAGTGAAGCATTGGGAAGGAAACCTTTCAACGTGCGTCATGAAGAACTGAACATTCAACGAGCATGAAATAAGATTAATAAAAGTTTCAAATACAAGAGATGCAGAAAGGAAGAAAGAGATAGGCAGAGAGAGAGAGAGAGAGAAAAAAAAACAAAAAAAGAGAGAGAAAGAGAGAGAGAGAAAAAAAAAGAGAGAGAAAGAGAGAAAAAAAGAGATAGAGAACGATGATGATGTTTGAAAAACAAAGAAAGCGCATTGATGGATAGTTGATGCATTGTTGTCCATCGTGGCTGTAAAAATGTGAACGAGTGAACATGTTCACATGTTCACCAAAAAACATTGTTCTTGTTCATATGTTCGCACGTGTGTAGATGCGTTTTGTTGGCATAAATAATGTTTGTACATGTATGTATGTGTGTGTGTGTGTATGTGTATCCGTGTGTGTGTGTGTATATGTATGTGTGTGAGTGTGTTCTGCCTATTTTTAATGTTTGTATTAGAAAAAGAAACAAACGTAATTATGAAGATGAAGATGGTGTTGTTGTGGTTGTTGATGACGATGATGTTGATGTTGTTGTTGATGACAATGATGAAAAAAAGATAATAATGATGATGATAATGATGATGTTGGTAGTGTTGATGATGATGAGGATGATGATTGAAAAGCAGGAAACGCTAAAACCAACAACAACAATTTCGCCAAGAGAAACATCCAAATACTGCATCATCAACAACAATTGCCATAACAATAATAACAACAACAACAATAGCAACAATAACATCAATAATAATAACAATAATAACATAAAAATTCTCATTAAACGGACAGGTCGGAAACACGAGATAAAAACATGAAAAAAATAACAACAACAACAAAAACATCATCATCATCATCAACAACAACAACAATAACAACAATAATAATAATAACTACGTCACGTGATGTTATTACTATTATTAAAAAAATTAAAATTAATTGTGAAAATAAGAAATTCTGCGGAAAAAATTTTTTTTCCATGTTTGACGTCATTAATTGCTTTTTATTATTACACGGGAAGAAGGATAGAGAGAGGAAAAGAAGAGATGAAAGAAGAATGGATTGAAGAAATTAATTTACGGATGAATGGATGAATGAATGAATGAACGAATAAACGAACGAACGAACGAATGAATGAATGAATAGATAAAGGAATGAATGAATGAATAGATAAAGGAATGAATTAAAAGATGGACGGGCAAACTTTAATGAACGGATGATTTAAATAAAAACAATATATTGAACCAATGAATAAATGAGCGGCTGAATGATAAACGAATGAATTAACGATGGATGGACTGACTGAATGAATGAACAAATGAATGAACAAATGAATGAATGAATGAATGAATGTATGAATGAATGAATGAATGAATGAATGTATGAATGTATGAATGAATGAATGAATGAATGAATGTATGAATGAATGAATGAATGAATGTATGAATGAATGAACAAATGATGAACTGACAGGACAGACAAAAA